GGTTCAGCATCCTTTGAAGATGACCTCAAGATTAAGATGGTCCTAGGGGACCCATGCTCGATGCTGTGCTGTCTGCTGGGTATACGAGTTCGATAAGCAAGGAAAAAAATGGATGTCAGAGCTGCTTTTCAGCCCTAATAAAACAGGATCCCAATTGCTATCACAGCACAACAGCTGCGTGCTAGGGTCTGGCCCTGAGCACACCCCCGGACCCTCGAGCCTGGCTGGAAGCGGGTCTGCTCCTTCACACCCCAATCGAAGAGGGAGCAAGGAAGCAGTGGCAGGGAGACGGACTTAAATGAGTCATTGCCTGCTTTATTTACCAAGGTGGAGCATTGCTGTAGCTGCGATGGGCCAGGAAATGTATGAGGCAAAGGTTTCATACCTTTTAACGGACTAACTGTATAGTTAAGAAAACTTTGGGCCCTTCCTCAATTTACCAGCTGAGATAGTGACTTAAATTCTTTGCATGTCCCGTGAGGCAGCAAGCCCTCACATCTAGGGATAAGACAGCCTGGTTTTCCTTAGACCCCTGGCTTGTGCCCACATGCGCAGAGCAAGGAATTCGACTCCCCGCACCACTTCAGCTGCTGGCAACCGTATCGAGCGCTGCAGGCAAAGGAGAGAAGCCAGAGCTGCCTGGCTGCTGGCTGAACAGGCTTCTAGCTCCTCTCGAGCACAGATGGGCATTTTCCACGTGCCAGGTGCTGGTTACTCAACCCGGATACAAAGTCAAACAGGATCTGGGTGTTTTGCAAGTCCTTTAAACCACAGTCCATCCCAGGCACCTGGCCACGCCTACCAGAAACACGTGGGATGACCAGGAGTCTTGCAACTGAAACTAGAACTGCAGGCGTCTGTGCCCTCGTTCTGCCACATGCCCTAACACAGGCTCCCGCATCTCGAGAAGGCACCGAACAACGCTGGGCTGGCCTGAGAGAGCGCACAGATGTAATCCTTTGTCTGCAACGCAGCATCTCCACACCACTGCCTGCGCCAGCAGCCCAGGGACAGGGGCCAAAATGCCCCGAGCACGGCTTGCCACCCAGTGCCCCCTGTACCTTGCAAACTGGGCAGCACCTCCACCGTTATCTAAGTCAGTGTTTCTCAACCAGTGGGATGCAAAGGTCGTGT